GAGGATCCTTCATGCTGTAGGAAAGAGCCGGAAACACCCTACCTGCCCGCTACTAGCCTGAGGACCAAGCCTGCTTGCCAGAATAAAAATACCCATGCTGCCACATTCTGCCCAAAGCCAAGCCCTCTGTGATGTAAAAATGCATCTGGGGCACTGTTGGGTCTCTTGCCAAAGGGCTACACGCATCTGACAAGCACCTTCCACATTTGCTGCATCATAGATCCATCGGAAAGCGTGGTCTCCTAGCGAGCTTCTACCATGTGAATTACTGAACAGACCCTGGTCAAGTCAAACAGAGACTGTGTTTGACAAACAGGACTCAAAAAGTTCCACTTATTGCACCATCTGCCTCTTCTCTTCTGCTTTTCCTTCCCAATGTCACAAACCCTAGGGACAGAGAAACCACTTGGTCATCTAGTCTGACTTCCTGGACACACAAGCTGTAGAATTTCTGCCAGAAGCTGGAATAAGGGCAGGGTTTGGTGTCAGAAAGATGGCTACTTCTCATTTTAAAGACTCCATGGTGTAGGAGAACTAGGCCTGCTAGCCAAAAGCAATGCAAGAGATACTGACACCCCCCCCTCCACAGTGAACCCCAGACGGGATGCCTGTCAGACAAGACACCAACCCTCCAATGCTGCTGGGATCCTTTCAGAGAACTGCTCCCGGAGCCTGTTCAGAGGATCTGTGTCTTGTATCACTTGGCATCTGAATATTGCAGCACACCATCCCCCCACTACCCAAACTGGTCAATACAAGGAAGATACATTCTCCTTCTCCCACCCATTCCTAGCACTCCTGGCTGCTGCACACGGAGGGGAGGGGCGCGCCTCTCTCCTACTCTTTCCTCTATTTGAGTCCTCCTCCCCAGCTTCACCCCAAGTAGAGTGAATAAAGTTGACTTGGTGCCTACAAGCTTCACAAGGGACTGTGTAGAAGGAAGTGAGGATTAAAAATTAATGCACCTTTTAGTATGTAAATCCCCCCTCCCCTTCACTTCTCTCTACAGGAAAAGGTAACAGAAACGCTTCAGGACAGATTCCTGTGGCCCAGAAAGCATGCACAGAGCTTCCTGCGTTAAACGCTAGATGCTTAGCACTGTATAAAACCTCACATGCTCAGAGCGTTGTTTACATGCATAACATAAGAACATAACAGTGATACCAGGTCGAACCAAAGATCCATGCAGGCCAGCATTGTCTTCTGACAGTGCCACATGACAGGTGCCCCAGAGGGAATGAACATAACAGACAATCAAGTGATCCATCCCTTGTCATCCAGTCCCAGCCTCTGACAAACAGAAGCTAGACACACCACCCTCCCCATCCTGGCTAATAGCCATTGATGGACCTAACCGCCATGAATGTATTTAGCACAATATCCTCAGACAAGGAGTTCCACCCTTAACTTTCAGGATTCCGCTGAAAGCTAGTAAGTTCCCATACAAGAACCCTCATTATTGGTAGTTCAGGATGCTAAATACAATTCAGAACGTGATATACTGTTATGCACCATTAAAACCTCAACAAATCACAGTTAAGGTTCTCCTGTTCCCCTTAACGTTCCAATCAAGCATACACCCAGAACACCTAATGACTAGGCGCGAGAAACAGGATAGAGGCATGTGAAATGCTGAAAGACAGAGATTTGAGAGATCAGGACTAAAGAGTGCCCAAGCTGGCAAGAGGAGGAGCACTTGCACACATTGACAACTCCAGAGGCAGCTGTGGGACAACCCTCTCCCACAGAAAGGTGGTTCTTCATTTCTATCAGTCGGGCTTGTCTACGTGAGAAGCAGCTTGCAATAACTGACTCTGCTCTAGCGACGTGCATTCACCGGTTAACTGATAAGCTGATGCTTACCAGTTAATGTTATCTGGTCATTTCTGCCCCGCTCCGGGAAGGCGGCTTCGCTGCTGGCTCTGCAACCCATGGCGTGTCACCACTAAGATTTTTTTAGCAGTTCTACGGTTACCTTGTCAAACGGCTCCCAGCATCCCTACTCTGTACTCACTCAGGATTAGCAATGGCACATTGAAGTGACACTCAACCCAACTCAAGCACAGCCGCCTGCCCGCAGGCGAGCCCGTTGGGCCTAGACTAGGCAGATTCACCCCAACCCCCAAAGCCCAGGCTAGCTTTAGGAGACATCTCCATTGCTGCGGGGAGTAACTGGGCACAGGAGTATTTCTTCTAGCCCCCGTTAAACCCCGCCCCGGTCCTTGGGTCGGGAGCAGGGTGAAGAGCGGGGCCCCTCTGTCGCAGGCACCTCTAGTGCGTTCAGCCCGGACTCCGCCTGCCCCAGGGCAGCCCCCCCGCCAAGGGGAGGGAGCCCGCTGGCTGCCTGCGCCCTGCCCAAGAGCTGCAGCTGGACCCGG